TAGGTCGTTACAGTTATAAGTGGGCACAAAGACCTAAGCAAGCCGCCAATTAAATCGATGGGTCACATCTACCTCTTTGCGATGGTTTTTGTCAATCTGCCCAAAACCCAAAATACTGGAGTTGTCACTTCCATGTGTCTCCTCCACTCAAGGGTATTCCTACAGGAAACAAACTTGATGGGATCATCTCCAGGAAATCGAGCCGGTAGTCAGTATAATCCCATATTTAGCAACGAACAGCCTGTGTATAGGTCACGNATGCCCGATGCACTTTAGAGAAGTGAGTTGTGGTTTCATTTCATGCCTGGTGATGATATTTTTATTTTGCCAAAATTAGTTTTTGGTATCATTTGATAATTCTTACGAACAAATGTATATGATTTGGTAAGTAGGCTATTAATGATGGAAATCACCCATGAAATGGAGCAAGCCACAGAGCTGGAAACCTTTAAAACATTTCAACATGCAGTTGGCCATGTGAATCTCCATGGTTTCACAGACATGATTTATTTTGCAGATGAAAACAGAGACATAGAAGATGCAGTGAAAATGAAAGCCACAACAGAGAGGCAGTAAGGGAGAGTGGGAGAGAGTATGAATGAATGAGAGAAAGGGAAAAAGAGAGGGAATAAATGAAAAAGGGAGAGAGAAAAAGAACACTGCAAATTTGTTTTTGAATTTAGCTATTGGCTCCTGGTGATGTGACCATCGCATGAAAAAATTTGGCATACGGCTATGTACTTTGAATATAATCATGAGAATTTTGGCTGAAAGCCGGAATGAAGGGAATGACACCAAAGCTCTTAGAAGGTGATTAGGCTCAGTGGGCATTAAGGAAGCGGCTCTTGCATTATTTCCTTTGGTAAATGTGTGTGAAATGTATCATCTGTGACGTGTGACTGGAAGCGCTCTGGCTCCTGAGAAGACACTTTTTCCATCCTCAGGATTCAGTTCATGGCAAGCAGCACAAGGTTTATTACAGAAAATTTAATATTAAGAAATATTTTTAAGATGTTACTTTTTACTATTGTACAATAAGAGAGATGATATGGAGTCTGTGCAGGTAAAACGGCCAGTTACCTTCTTTATACAGCATATCAGTTGACAAGTATAAACCATTGAAAATGGAAAAAGACAAAACAAAAAAGGCCTATGCAGAAAGAGATAACATGGGAAAGGGGAGGCAAAGAGACTTCATCATCATTATCAGGAGCTAACGCCGACCGGGGCGCATAGCCACGTCCACCTTTTGCTTCCACCTTTTGGGATCCCTCATGGCAAGCCGCCAGGCAGGGACTCGGCCCATCTTGAGCTCTTCCCAACAGGTTTGATCAATCTGCCCAAGCCACGACCTCCTAGGTCGTCCCACAGGCCTCCTCCACCCAGGGTTGTCTCTTACAAGTGACAACCTGATGAGCAGGATCAGCCTGTGGAAAGCAAGCCAGATGGATGGCTGTAAGCTGAGTTGGCGATCCTGGATTGTGCAGGTAACAGGTCCTGTGCCAGTCTCACGGTGCAGCCATTGGTTAGACACATGGTCTCGCCAACAGTACCCCATGATCTGGCGCAAGGAACTATTGCAAAAGGCTTCAAGACAAGACTCCAGGGCACTGGATAATGTCCAGGTTTCACTACCGCAGAGCAGAAAACTGGCATTATCAGGGCCCTGAAAACCTGTAGCTTGGTCCTTCTGCACAGGTACCGGCACCTCCAAATACTCTTGGCGAGAGAGAGTTCATGACCCCTGCTGCCAGGCCAATCTGTCTGCTGACTTCCTGGTCTGACAGCCCAGAGTTATGAACTACACTACCAAGGTATGTAAAGCTCTCTGTCACTTCAATGTCCTCGTTGCAAGCACGTACCGACCGAACAGGTTCTCCTAGCAAGTCCCCAAAGTCCTGGATCTTGGTCTTGGTCCAGGAGACCTCTAGACCCAAGGGCTTTGCTTCATTACTAAATGCATCGAGAGCCAGCACTAGGGTTTCCAAAGACTCAGATAGAATAGCAACATTATTGGCAAAGTCAAGGTCTGTAACCTTAATATTACCCAGTGTTACTCCAAAATGACTTTGAACAGTAGCTCTGCCTAGTATCCAGTCCATGCAAGTATTGAAAATTGTTGGTGCAAGAACGCAGCCTTCCCTCACTCCTGAACTGACAGGAAAGAAGTACAACAGGCCCCCACCACACTTTACAGCACTTTCAGTACCAGTATACAGGATTGCTATTAGTTCAGTAATCCTTGTTGGAATTCCTCTCAGTCTCAGGATCTCCTAGAGTGATTCCCGATGCACTGTATCGAACGCCTTCTTGAGGTTGATGTTGGCTGCAAGCAGCCCACGAACTCCGACGCGCTCTACAATGACTGGTTGGGTCCTCGCTAATGGGTGGGTCTGGCAAGTTAACTGTTGGAGGGTCAACCTGATACAGCTGCTCAAAGTACTCAGCCCAATGCTCCTGCACCGCAACAGGATCTGAGACGATCTGGCTACCTACTAAGTGAACTGCAGTCACCTGTGAAGAGGACTTGGAATTAAATTTTCTCAGGGCTTGGTATGTAGGACGAAGGTCGTTTACTAAGAAATGGCCTTCGACCTCCTCAGCAAGACTCCTAATAAACTGTTCCTTGTCCCTTCTTAACAGAGACTGATTTCTGCGCACCTGAGAACAGTGCAAATCCTGATCCCCTGCCAGACGAGCTGCACGGCAAGCATCTTTGGCTTCCAGTGTCTCCTGAGAGATTAAATTCTGTCTTGCTCTCGGGCATTCTCCAATCAATTCTTGGGCTGGATCAAGGTGTTCCACAGAAGTACAGGGTCCGTCAGATTGTCAAGTGCTGTGAACCAATCAGAGATTGTCTCAGCAAACTTCCGAGCACACTCCCTCTCCTTTAGCCTGTCCAGATGAAACACCCTAGGGTGGTCATTGGGCCACTGGGGAGTTTTGAAGTGAACCCGGAGGGTAGCCACAACCCATCTATGGTCAGTACCACAGAACTCGGCACTCCTGTATACCCTGCAGTTCTGGAGGATCCTCCAACGAGTGCTAACGAGTATGTTGTCGATCTCCTTGGCTGCATTACCTGCATAGGCGGCAGGCTGCGGAACCCATCATCCACCTGTGGGGTTCCCTAGGGCTTTGCCCCACAAGCTTTATATCGGACTGGCGGCTGCCAGAATGCAGGCGGGATGAGGAGCTCTCATTCCCATCCTGCGCCCCAGCAGCCACCCTCCCAACGGGGCCCGCAGCCTGCCTCTCTCGCTGGATAGGAGGGACATTTCCCCTCCCCCCAGCATTACCATTTAAACAGAACACTGCTAGTGGGTTATTCTCTGGGGGCAGGAGGACTGGCAAGGCCCACTTCCCCCGAGCCTCCCATTGACCCCAGGGGGCTTAGGGGCAGGAGTTAGTACAGGGCCATGGCATGTCCACACGCTGGTGAGCCATGACCCTGTACCTCTGGGGCCTCCTGCTGCTCCGAGATCCCATACAGTTCAGCCTGGGACTGCAAGGTGCCAGTTTCCATAGGTGGCCACGAGGAGGCACTGCAGAAGTCTGTGAATAGTGCTGATGTGGATCAGGCCTGCAAGCCACATACTTTGGAGATTCGCCACACAATTATGCCTAATGCCCAAAGTTTGGGCGACATGCAAGCAGAGAGGTACCATATGCAATAGGTTAAAGACAAGCTTATGGCTCCCTAAGTTTTCCCATCAAATTTAATAAGTTTGGCTATGAATATCCTCAAAACCATTTTCCCAGTAAAATTGATTATTAATTAAATATCATATGATTCCAGGAATTAAATTTTGGCAAAGAAAAAAAAAAAATGTACGCTCTAACCATCACCTTAAACATTTTATTTGACATATTTTTGGTGAATTATATTTGATTTTATACTGTACAGAAATAATCTGATGATTCTTATATTGAACCCATATTTACATTAAAAAACTAATTAGTTTCATTCTTTATTTTAGTTGTGGAGAAGTTTACTGAGAACGTTCGCTTTTGCCTCATTTGCAACTACCTTAGCAAAATCATTCCTGCCATTCAGTCCCGCTGTACCCGCTTCAGATTTGGCCCGTTGTCTTCAGAACAGATCCTTCCTCGCCTCAATCATGTCATTGAGGAAGAAAGGTAAGCCAGCAAATGGCTCATGTGAATTAGATTTTATATTTCTTGATGCTTCATTTAGTGATATAAATTTGTACTGATAAAGTTTTTGCTTCACATTTATTTCTTTTTTCCTTCTTTCGTTTTAACATCTTACATTTCTGCCTCCCAGTGTTCCAGTGACAGAGGATGGAAAGAAGGCACTGCTAGCCCTTTCAGGAGGGGACATGCGGAAGGTTCTAAACATTTTACAGTCCACTGCCATGGCTTATAATGAGGTGTGTAAATTTAGAAATGCCACTATAAAACATGCAGTAGGAATTATGTGTTTATATTATTGTCAGTATTTGTCATAATGACATTTTTAAACATAAAGTTATAATTCATATTCAAACTTACAGCAGTTAGAAGTAACACCAATATGTGATTTATAGGTCTCTGAGGATAATGTGTACACCTGTGTTGGTCACCCACTTCGTTCAGATATCACGAACATCATCAACTGGATGCTGAATGAAGATTTCCAGCTTGCCTACAAAAGTATCCTTTTGACTGTAATCACCTGGTGTAATGTTACTAATTTTTTTCCTATGATGTTAGGCAGCTCGTTACAGGCTACTGAATCATGTTTGTACAATTTAAATTGAAAGTAATTAAGAAATAAAAACATTTGTCTTCAGTTACTTACACATTTAAAAAAGGAATAGCTTAAAAGTATGGAAAGCAAGTTACAAAACACTTAAATATGTAAGGCATAAATGGATTGAATTGTTATAATTTTATTGGAGTAAACATTTGAATGCAAATTAGACTGCTGCAAAATACATAAGGACTGCAACTCTGCCCTGTCAGATCCTTCATTTAGGTTAGCATCAGTTACTCCC